ATCAAAATAAGTATATCGAAGAGTTTGTTGAATGCCAGATTGTGTTTAAATATAAATAATCCCTTCATATTTTAATAATGGTAAGAGTTATAGGCAAATGATTGATTGATTAAAGATTGAACCATTCAATTCATAAATTGTTTTCTACTCGAGCATAGCTTTATACAACATTATATAAATTATTTTGAACTTACAGCTATTCTTCAGCATTCTATTTGTAATTTTAAAAGTAAGTTAATTGTAATTAATAGATAAATTAGTAAATAAGTAAATAAGTGCTTTAATTACCACCTTTTATATTTAAGTATCTATTTAAGGTAGWTATACCTAATCATAATAGCCAGATTGGATTTATTTATCGCTATTGTAATTTAAAGAAAAAATTGGAAATTTGGAGATAATATAAAAAAATATTTATTTATTTATTTATTGTTATAAAATGAMAGTTGCATGGCATAAGTGCTAATAATGAACTCAGAGGTTTATTACACGATAGAATATCTGTGTCAGACCATTATGTATAAAAGAAATATTTTATGGATACGAAGTGAACTGCTCGAATTGTAAAAAATGTCTACACTTTTCCTATGTCAGTTTTATTTACCTGTATTTTTTTGAAAGTTGAATCATCAACCAAAACGGTGCTGTGCCAAATGTTATTCAAAGGTGACGAAATCTACTAATAAACTGGAAAAGTTTTGTTTTCTCTAATAAGCTTAAAATTCTCATGTTACATGTTACCTTGTTTATTATTTATTCATTTATTCAGTGTTTTGAATTACATTTTTTTTTACGAAGTACATATTATTACATATTTTATTATTCACAGTATAAATTATCATATATTTTTAAATTTTTATATGGACTTTAGCTACACAGGGTAAGCTTTATAAGCTTACGAACCCTCATTTGACTCTTATCTGTTATTTTAGTGTAAGTTTAGTTTGGCAGCAAATTATTTTTTTTCTGAAACGAATGTGCTCTGTATTTTGTTTTTTGTTTTTTGTATATGTTATTACTTACAAAACAGTGTAATAATATTTAGTATCTAAAAGTATATTAAAATTGTAGCTACCAACAAACATTTTATTTTTATGATTTTTTACTTTTTAAAGGTATGATTATGTTTGACATTTCGTAGCGCATAATTGTTTATCTAAATTAAAAGACTTGACGAGTTAAATTGCGATTAGAGACGATTAAGATATATTCTTACGAACCTATATAGTTATTCTATAGTTATCGAAAACAATAAGCTAAATTTCTACACGATTTTATAGGGGCCTTTTTCCCCAAAATTTAATTTCGAATTACCGAGTGTACTTAAAGCCTTTAAGCATTGTTTTTGTTCGAATTTACATCGAAATACCAAAGGTTTTGTATTATTGAAGGTTTGAGTTATCGTGAGTCAACTGTATATAATATGCATAGGTAACTTTGTTAGTGCCAATCATTTAAATATTTATTATTTTATTTATATTAATAATTATAGTAGTCATGTTGTAAGGTTTTCGGGCGCCGTGCGACACCTATAAGTCACGCTGTGCCTTTTTTTTCATTAGAATTGAGGTAGGATAGTCTACCACACTCAGCGAGTCGCTTGAATCCCAACTATCGGCCTTAAATGAGTTGCCGGGGAGCCGCTACCCGTTTAGCACCCAGGCGCCCGAGTACGACTTTCCGGATGGATGAGAGCTCGTTGCGAAAGGTGGTATGTGCCTTCCTGTGAGATGATGTTTTTCAATTTCGTTATTGTTGTAGAGGGACTGTTAGCGGCTGTTGAACAGTCGCTTCTGCAGGTCATTCTTCTCTTGTTGCGTGCCAAACGACACTGCTGTATCAGCAGTAGCATTTTTGCCAGATTCAGGGACCGTGCTGGACACCCGGTCTTTAACCAGAGTTAATCTRCTACCAAYGATCCCTGAGGCTGTGAAACCTATGGGGTAGTAACAGTTAGGGTAGTCCGTTTTTGGCTTTCAAATAATGGTTTGTGATTTTCCTTCCGTCTATTTCACCTACTGGCAGCGATCCGTTTGCAAATGCTTGCAGATGGACCGGGCCTGCCAGCCCCAACCAATCAATGTCATGACTAACCTAACGTAACCATTTTTTTGTGTTCAATCATGACGCGGAAGAGAGGGTACTACAACCATAGTTGGGTCGTCTGTCCCCTCGACCTCCGTATCGTTTATTAAACAAAATAATTTTAACAAACATGTAATTAATAAGTAATTAATCGGTTTGGTGCGTTTTGCGTGTACAAAAAAGAGAGCGCTCTACCCCTCTAATATTCTGCCTTTGGCGTACATGAYATACAACTTAACTATGTGGTTTTTATTTTCATTGCCTTATCTGCTCCTCTTCTTTTCTGGTCRAAAGGAGTTTGTTGATAAACTTACTTATTAACTTCCACTTGTCGAGGTCGCTCATCATCAGTTCTACGACCGTTTCCGGTCACAGCTCTTGGCCCAGTGTTCCCTCCAGCGTTCTGCGATCCATCCACTATCGGCCGTGGTCAAATATTGCATGCTTAACGTAATCCGTTGCTGCTTGGCAGTCAATGGAACTAGGGTCCTCTAGTTTTCCCAAACAATTCAAATATTGTCTGAGACATCCATGGCCCGATAGCATCTAAGTGAAATGGAAGTCAACTGCTCCGTGTTTTTGGATCAACCAGCTCTTAACGTCCCTGATCAGTCTCCAGGTGCATCTTCCCGTGACTTCCTTGTTCAATTCTTTCTGCCATTAATTAAGGACTTCTTAACGTATTTTCTTCTCAATCCCCGCTTTGTTAGGTTCTTTCCTGATCTCGTATCTCTTCGTCCTTTCCTACGCAAGGAAGTGAGCAGGTATAACTCCAGCWACTACCATAATTGCCGCTGTTGACACTGTTCTATATACCATAGCTGTCCTTAGCGCGATAGTGCTTTGAGGCCTTAGAATAGTTTGAATGTTTTTCTCGAACACAAGAGCCGTCGACCAGACTGGTGCTATGTATTGACATATACATAGTAGCTTGCACAGCTCCACTGTAGACAGTAGGCGTCTCTTTTGTTGGCCTGAGCCTACATTTGGCGTTATTCTAGATAATGACTGTGATGTGCTCTACGCCTTTGAGGCTGCCGTTACGAGGTTTGCGTGGAACCCGAGAATTCTGTGAAGTTCCACTCCTAAATATCTTATTTGATATTTTATCTGGATACTCATGCCACGTATTCTGAACTCAGGCCTCTCATAACCTCTCTCATTCGTAAGAATAATGGCCTCCGTCTATTCTATTGACAGTGATAGCTCTGCCATGTTCCATTCAATCTGCGACGGCTGTGAGTGCATTGTTTGTAACCTCTTGTAGGATTCCAGTCGTGTGCCCTGTGTAGTAAACCGTATTCTCGGTTTACTCTATTTCCATGATGATCAGCATACATTTTGTACTTTGTTTCTCCTTGTACCTTTTTTTGTTGATTAGTTATTTTATATTTATGGAAAACAACTGGATTAACATTTATAACGTATACCACTCTATGCATGTAATTTTGAGTGAACCAATCCCGTGGCTCCATTTACATCACGCCACGAATGGATATAGGTATAAATATAGTAATTAGTTAGCACCTAAGTTAGAATTAGTCTATACTAGCATAAATGCACATATTCTCAGGCACGAGTGTAACCTSGGTCTTCAAATCTCTTAAATACATATTCTTTTCTAACCTATTTAAATTATATTTTATTATTAAAACTAACTTTGTGACTTCAATTTATTATCTACAACAAGACCAAGAACGAGACATCCGATTTCGTCATTAAATAAATAAGTTTACAAGTGTAGTAATCACGGCAATATTGTAGCGTGGATGATGATGTGCCTTGTTGATTGCCCCCTGTTTGTACCCAGAGCAGATCGTCGTACATCATATTCCACAGAAACGGCCCAARCACCGATCCYTGCCGTACGCCACATGTGATGTCCTTATTACCACCATTCTCGTACTGGAGATCTCTCTTGCTTTGGTAGCTCCTTATAACCCCTACGAGGTATGCTGGTATTTCTTTAACATGTWAGAACTCTTCTATCCTATGCCACTTAGCCGTGTTAAATGCATTAGCAACATCCAGGGCTACCACTGCACAGAGTTTCCTACTATACAATTATCTTGTTGAGACYTTTTYTACAATCCTCATCATTTCTTGCACTACGTCAATAGTAGACCACCATTTTCTGAAGCCAAACTGTCTGTTGTTTATGTCGTGAGATAATTCTAWGTGCTTTCCCAAACGTGCTTTGATGATGCGTTCGATTAATTTGCCAAACGTTTTCAACAGACAAATAGGTCTGTACGACTTAGGATTGTCCAACGGCATGTCTCCTTTGCGAAGCAGTACCAATTTTGCTGTTTTCCATTCTTTTGGAAACGTGCCATCTCTCAGGCATGCGTTGAACAGGTCCCTGAGCATTTCTAGTCCAACGGTTGATATTTGTTTAATCACCAAGTCGGGTATGCTGTCTGGTTCAGGGGTCTTCTCCGTTGGTATTTTACGACCACCATCTATTACTTCTTGGCTTGATATCTCTGGGAACCCGATTTCTGTTGACATTTTTGACCATATAATKTTTGGCACCTGAGGAAACAATGAGTCGACAATCGATATCAGCTTACCAGGAAGAAGAAGCCCTGGGATCGGTCTTCTACCCMTCAGATTTTTGGTTGCTAACTTGTAAGGAATACCCCRGGGATCCGTTTACACTTGTGCACATAGATTCTTCCATCCAGTTTCCTTGCTTTCCCTGATAGTTCTTCTTAATTTATTTTTGACCTCCTTATAATTGGTGTGGTTTAATTCTTGGGTGCTAGATTGACGATATTGGCTTCTATTATATTTTCTACGTGCCTTTAAACAGTCCTTCCTAAGGTCAGAGATTTCTTGAGACCACCAAAAAGTAGGTATTTTCCTCCTTTGTACTCGCCTCGTGGCATACAGCTGCTGCATGCCTCTTCTAAGTATCTTCTTGATRTAAGCCCGGCTATTTTGAAATTGAATACGGATAAGAAGTTCCGTAATTTAGTTTGATTGTATTTTCTCTATGCTCATCTAGCGACGTTGTCCTGTTGAATTGGCTCGTTGGTCAATGCCGATATTTCGAAAGATATGTATCTGTGAGGAGAGCCAGTGAATTGGTCCAAGACCTTCCATTCACGTACTTGTTGTACGCTACTCATAGATGCAAAT